GTTAGAGCACAACTGATATAGGTCTGGGTATTTCCATGATATTAAAGAACAATGATACTACCTACCTTTACTTACTGCTATCCCATGACACTTAGCAAGTCAGTGTAATTATTTTATAAATAGAATTCATTACTTTTAGCAATATCTTTGAAAAAAAAAAAAAAATCCAATATGGCACTGCTACTATTTCCCCAAAATGTCCTGAATGAATAAGGACTGCTAAAAGATTTACAGTTTGATATGTTGATCAATTTGATATTTCATTGATTTCAATTAAGCCTTTTTGCACCGAAATTGAAACATGCAGAAACATACATAGATGCAATTTTCTGTTTTTATACCAAATATATAAACTCTTTTTTCAATTATGAAGTATTGTATGGAAATTAGAGGGTTATATTATTTTTTCTCCCCAAATGAGTCAAATGCAATAAAATACTAAGACTTGAAACTGTTGATAGATTTTTTTTAATATAAAATATTCTACAAGCCATATAAAAAATTATAACAACACATGACAATATCTTTTGAGTCATATACTTACACTGATAACCACATATATAAATTTGTCATTTTAGTCAAACAACTCTGCAATTTCAAGTTCACACTCTAACAATACAATCTGTTACAGGAGGATACCTGCCATAGAACAACAGTTAGCAAGTGAGGCCACTTCTTGATGGTTTTTCCCCTAGTCTGGTCTTGTGCTAAGCTTAGGAAATATTCACTAATTTTAGATGTAAGTTTTCAAATGTAACTGATAAAAAGATTGTACACTTGAATTTAAACTCATTTAGCAAATATTTTTGTTAATACTAAATCATTAATTCAAAATAGTAATTTATGTAAATGAGATAAATAGAGCAGAACCTTCTGTCCTTGTTACTGCATATAAAATGTCTGTTCATGAATTCATGCTGCTTATGACAAAGGAAATTATTTTGAAAAATAGAAAATTTATTATGTAAAATAAAAGCTTTTTTCATCATTAGGCTACAAACATATTGATGTACATATGTATATTCATTAATATAGTTTATATACTACATATGGACTGTGCAGTACAATCTCAAGTCAAACTGTGTCAGAGACCAATTCTGTTTTTTGTTTTGTTTTTTAAATGAGTTCAAAGGGATCAACTTCTCTTGGGTAAATATGATGACAATAGTATTAATTATTACTACAATAGATAAAAAAAATAGTATTACTACAGACAGAATTATCAAATAAATTATTCTTGGTAGTACATAGAACACGTCTTCAAATGTATTAGCAATTATGTAGGTTTTGGTGATAAGTATTAGTATTTTTTTTTATACTAAAAAAATATTGGGCTGATACAAATGTTTCCAGTGCCATTTTTTTAACAATATTAGGGAACCTTTTCGGAGTGTCTTCCAAGTCTATTCAGGTTCTTGTTTCTTTTAATCAAAGGCAATACATCATTTTTCAAGTTTCAGGAAAAATTCAGAAGCTAAGAAAATGGCTTTCACATTAACAGAAATAAGCATCCTCTAAAGGTTTGTTTTTCTTCTCCTTGCTGGATACAAAAATAAAAGATTTGGACAAAACTGTCACTGACAGATTTATAATGAAGATCCAAAACAAGGAAAATTATGGATATAACCATCAGTATCTCAACAAAAAAAAAAAAAAAAAAAATCAACCTAATGAAGAAAAAATGTTATCTACATTTGGTAAGATTAAAAGGGAAATAAAAATTGCTGAAACCTATATAAAAAGTTACATGATGATACAATGAGCAACTGGCTCATTTGAAGAATGCATTAGAAGAAGAAAAAAAGATTTTTCCAAGCTAAAGAATTCAACAAGTGATTATGCTGCATGACAATGCTAATGCAACACAGCAAAAAATAATCACAAAACCAAGATAGGAAATTCTTTCACATATGACATTCTCCTTTGGACTATCAGTTCTTTTCTTTCCATGTAACACTTTGTTTAGTCAGCAGTACTAACAAGTTTAAATCTGTAATCATTCTTTTCTGATACAATACAAATAAGGTATAAAGTCAAATAAGGCCAAGAAAATGCTTTGATGAATGAATAATGGAGATGATGTTATAAATTCATATAAGAGATTCTGATAAAAATGCTGGAAACTTTTGCATTAATCTAATGAATTAATAATTAGTTTACACAAGGTATGCCTAGCTTTCTGTTGTCGCAAACAAACCAATGAACATGATAACATATTCTTGTAAGCTTCCTTACTGGGAAATTATTATGTGCTTTAAATAAGTATTTATAAAAAATTAAAATACTCAAGATTTTGTTTTTATCTTGTCGACAAAAAGAAAGAAATAAACTTATAGAATTTTCATGGAGTCAACATTCTCTTTACATTTTAATGATTCTTCAGTGGTCATTATAGTTTGTTTCATTATTCACGTCAATAATTTTTCAAAAACTAATGAATTTTACTTCATTTTGATTTAATCAATAAGCGTGCTTTTTAGTGCTGTCTTCTTCTTAATAACCAGTCATAATAAAAAAAAAAAAAAAAAAAAAGATGAAAGCATTTATTTAGCAGAATCTAAATAAGCACTGCAGAAATTCCCAATGGACTTTCTAGAAATAGTCAAAAGCTGTATTTGAACAATCAGAAATCTTGGATTAGCTCAAGTAATTCATAAGCAACCATCAATGCCAAATGCCATAAAAGTAGCTAATAAAGAAAGAGAATCTTATGAAAACAATAAGTAGTAATATGATTTCAGAAGTTACAAACAAAAGAACCAATCAAAAGTTTTAAATTTAAAGATATATATTTTACTAATAGAATATGAATATAGTTTACTTATATTTATGGGTCATAAGGAGGCAAACCATTTTTCTTGGTTAAATCTTTTTTTTGTATTGTTCTTATGAGAAAGCAGAGATATATACTTGCTTGCAAACAACTTATTTCAAAATTTTAAGCTTTCTGAATTTAATGTAGAACTGACACTAGATAGAAATTTTGACATTTTGACAATAGTTTATTAAAAAAAAAAAAAAAAAAAATAGCATTTCATCTATGTCCATAATAAGTTTCTTTGTCTCTAAATGCTATAATTTGGCAATGATACTTAATGTTGTGAGGAACTAAGCCCCTTTCCTTTGCACCACAATCATTTCTTTGAGAAATTTTGTGTATCTTCAAAATATACTATTAAAAAGCAGTATCTTAACATAAGATATGAAGATGAAGCTGTGTTGATAGCAGACGCAGAAAAACTACAAAAGCTTTCTGTAGAAAGTAGCATAGGAAAACAAGAAAAGACTAAATACAAACTACAAGAGAAAATTCATAGTTGTCAGCAAAAGGGGTGAGCCCAAAATGCAAATTACAAATCAGGGATACTAAAATCAAACAAGTACAAAAATTTTAATATCTAGGAAATTTTCTAACAGAGGATGGAAAGTGTGCCACTGAGATCTGAAGTTGCATTGAGATGGCCAAAGATGCATTCCAAAAGCTAAGCAGAATATTAAGAGATAGAAAAACTTTGCTAGAAAGAAACAAACAAATAATGAACTGTTACATGATATCTGTCCCCCTATATAGCAGTAAATGTTGGATGAAAGATGAAGGGATGAAGCAACAAAAATGTGGTTCTACAGAAAGATGTTGAGGATACCATGGACCAAACATGTGAGCAATTACAAAATTTTAAAGAAAATGGAAACAAAAAGGAAACTTATATTTAACATCAAGAAGAGGCAGTTGAAATATCTGGGGCATGTAATGAGGAAGGAGGGCTTGGAAAATCTGATACTCACAGGACAGATTGAGGGAAAGAGGAAAACAGCATGTAACATACTTGATGGGCTTGAGTAAATGGATGGTAGAACATGGTGTGGGAGAAATAGCAAAAGACAAAATCTATTAAGAGTTACAAGGGACAGGAAGATGTGAAGGGCCACAGCACATAAAGAACAACAACATTCCTGTTATATATGGCTAACTCCCCTTTTGTCCCAATCTGTGATCTAAATAGCCAAGGTTATCAATTTCATGGCAGAAAATGGTTTTATTGGAATAACTAAGCAATATAATTATCAATTCCATCAAGAAAGCAATTGTTTATTTATAAAAGATAAGACCTGATAAATAAATTAGTGAAAAAAAAATTAAAAACTTTATATTTAGAATTGTAGAAATAATTAATTAGCAATGTTTCAGTCAAGATTTGAGCAATTTCTAATTTAGAAAATAATTTTCAGTTGTACACAAAGTGAGCACATCTATGGCTCATTATAATTTCAATAATTTCAATGCCCCTAAAATTTAAAATTAAATCAAGCCTATTTTTCGGAGATATTTTCATAAGATGTAATTTAATGAAAGTGTCCTAATATTTAGGGAATTTGTAACAACAGAAACAAATACTATTTGTATATTCTCTGGTAATGAGTTTACCCTTGTCATAAAAAAATGGCTGCATATATTAAATTTTTACTATTTTTAGGTTTTCACATGAATCTTTAAATTTATGAATATATAAACAGTACCTGTAAAAAAATGACTGGATTATTTATAAATGGATTGACACTTCGGCTTAGGATTAATGTAGTATCTGTTTGCTCAGCTTAATTTAGTATTTGCAAGTTAGCAGCTTGTTACATTTCTTAACCACTTGCTTTATTATAACAAAAACTTAGACAAAAATATACAAATACATGTAGCATATTGTATAGATATTAATTTGAACAGGTTTATAACATCAGCAACTATTGAGGAGAAAAAAAAAACACTGCACAACCAGAAATAATTTTTATAATGAATTATGCTAAAACTATTTCTAATGGTTTTGTTATGTCCCAAAAACATTTTATAATGCAGAATCCTTATATTCTTTTATGTTGCAATTTTTGAGGTGAGGAATTATTAGTTTTTTTTTTTTTTCCATTCAGTCTAACATGCTTATCTTGGTTGTTCTAACATTTCATCTGTTGTACTCTCCACACTTCACTTATGGCTACATCATGTTGAAACATGTTCCCATATGATCCCTGAAGTTAAGCAACATCGAGCCTGGCCAGTACCTAGATGAGTGACTTCTTGAGAATACAAGGTACTGTAAGGATGAATGTGTGTAATAGATAATGGCTTCGAATTGTTAATTGGAAAGTAGAATTTCAATTCCAGTTGAGTTCCTTATATTCACTTACATGCAAATAACCTTGAGAAAGGTATGAATCTACTTCTCCTCCCAGCTATAGGTTAATTAGTAAGACTTGTATCACTAAATCATTATTATCTATAAAAAAAAAAAAAAGCAAGCAAAGCACAAAAAGAAATTTCTTACAATCTAAAAATATTTTCTGGCTTTAAATAAGCTGCAAAAGGTTGATAAGCCATAGAAAGCAAAACAATTAATCTCCAACCTTTGGTAATTTTGTACCAAATCCTTTATTCAATCCAATCCATAAGGGTAGGTTGTCCTCATTTTGCTTTTCATGCTTAGCAAAGATAACATATCAGTTAATTCTTTGTCTGTTCAACTTTGTGTCACTTGTCTGTTTCTTTCACTGAACCAAAACATGACTTTTCCACACTACCTGTTCCAGGAATTGAGCACACAACTACCATGAAATCAGATATGCTTTAATCTACCAGGCCATTTATCTCTTGGACAATCCAATGACATATTGGGGTCTTAAATCTAATATTTATACTCAGGTAGTGAAATTTTTGAGCGGCCTTTCTTAATCAGAGACTACTGTGAAGGTTGTGCTCTGTGTTGATTCTTTCAGTTGTTTTATCTTCCATTATTGTTTTCTTTTGATTATACCAACTTCATTGATGGTCACTCTTTACCCTTTAATACAGAATCAGCCATATCTGATTTCAAAATCTCTCCACAGATGAGAGCTTTTGATGTTTCTTCAACCTTATCTTTAGGGTTTGTCTGGTCTTATCCTTGTATTCCTTACCACATGTACATGGGATGGAATGCACACAACTCTTGGTCATTTTCTCATTTGATGGTAGGGGCACTTAGTTTTCTTAAGGAGAAAGCTGAACCAAATGATAATTTTATTGCACACGTTGCATTTTGTATATCAACAATAAAATGAAGTAACTACACTATTCTTTTAAGAAAGAATACCTGGAAAATTTATCTTGAAATACCATGAATAAAATAAAATCTAATTTCAAATGGGTATGTGGAAATACATGCAGACAGAAAGAAAAAGCTGAAACTTTTGAGATACATAATGAGGAAAAAAGGCTTAGAGAATTTAACACTCACTGGGTTTACAAAAAGCAAGAGAATCAAGAGAAAACAGAAAGCAACTATTTGACATGTTTGAGTAAATGAATGGCAGAACAAGAACAGAGAAGTATTGTAAAAAGCCAAGAGTTACTCAGAAAAAAAATGATGGGATGTGTTAGAGAGTCCATGACCTGAAGGGACATAGCACACATATAGAGAAAAATGAAGTAAAAACTTCAACAAAATAAAATGAATGAGACGGTCTTTTGATAATGCAGAATCCAATAGCAGTAAACATTTTCCACTATCCATTTATGAGAGACAAAAAAAGTCAGAGGAAAAAAAAAATCAGTCATGTGCATTCAGTTGACAAAATGGTGCACACACACAAACACAGAGCTTTGTTGGAAAATATTACAGAAGAATAAATAAAAATAGATAAAAAGCAGATTAGAAATCTACTTAAGTCAATTATAGAGTGAAAAGGAAATAACTAATTACAGCAAAAATGTTTATTACCTTTTGTTGTTGTTGTTGTTGTTGTTGTAGTTACTGGTATTGTTACTGCAGAAGAGTTCTTGGATGTTGTGCTGGTCTGTTATGAAAAGCAAAGGTTAAAATAATGAGAAATCAGAATCAAGAAGAAATAACCTATTGGAACAATAAAAACAAAAAGTACAAATGCACATAGGAAACATATATACATGTGTAAATAAACAAAGAAATAAGTGATAGGAGTGTATATACATTTATATATGAAGATCATGACAATTGATATTTTAAATATATAAATCATGTAATTATGTGTGAGGGTGTATAATATCTGACAAGCAAAAAAGTTACAAAGCTTTCTTCTGCAAGTACGTGTTTAATATAGACATATGTGCATATATATATATATATATATATATATATATATATGACATATATCTTCATATATAAATGTGCCGTATACACACACATTTATTATATATTCACATATATTATCAAAAGCAGAAATTAATTTATGTATATAATATATAGTAAGTCTGAAAATAATTTTGAGAATAATAAACTAACACACAATATGAAAATTAGCCAAATGAGCAGTCAGGCTTTAAGAGTGGTTCATTAACAGACCATCTACAACTAATAGACCAACTGAAAATAAAAAACATAAAATTATTTGGCTTCAACTGATTTTGAAAAACCATTTGAGTCAACAGAACACTCAGCAGTATTTAACTCAGTATAAGAGAAGAATTTAGACAAGAACCTGAATTACTTATTGCCTGCTTGCCAGAAAATTAAGTAATAAAAGATGGCAGTAAATATAAATGGAGAATATTTTAACCACATTATGATTTGCTGAAAATATTTTACTAATATTTGAATTATCACATAAATTTCAAGAAATGCTAGATGATCTACATAGGAAAAATCTCAATATGGGTTTAAAAATGAACAGAAAAGTTTTCAAAGGTAATGTCCCAAAAAAGACTAAAAAACAGAATTTAAAAAAAAAACTAGAAGTCTAGGAATACATCTACATGGAGCAGGTGATAATATTAATGAAAGAAAATAAAAAAAGCAAGGCAACAACTATTGACAGATTGAAAAGCATTTAATAAAAATGGAGACTTAATCAAAAGCACATTGTTAATATGATTAAAATGTACAGTATATAATAAGTGTGCAATACCACTTATGACTTACAAGAGTTACGAGGCCCCATTTTGTCCTACTTCTTTACACTTACACTATAAAATACAAAATCTAACTTAAAATGATGACTTAAATCTGTAGGTACTAGATGCCCTTTTTACCTTATGAAAAGCTCCCGTTCACCAAACCCTTTAGATTTCATAATAGAATGGAACTTCTACTCTAGAAACTTCTACTGAGTTCTAGAGGGTACAAAAAACATGTAAACAGGAGTTTGTACCAACTAACCAGTTGCCTCCTGAACCCACAGCCACGACTACTGAGGTCGACTCCAGTCCTTTCGGTTCATGAACAAAGCTTCGACCGAAAGAATCTAAGTTCTGACAGTCCTTGAAAATAAAAGGCTATCAGTAAATACTTTACTTTTTTTCCTTGATATTATTGACCAAACTCCTTTATTTTATATACATGTGAATATCTAACTATTTTTCTAAGAAAATAATAATATTCTTTGACTAGCGACAAATTTCCATTCGTCGCCTTAATCTTAACTGTATTGGATTTTCTCTCCCACTCCCTCATATAGCTACATGTTAAGCCAACTACTTTCTGGTCTCTCACACGCTTACTAACTGTTAGCATTTCCCAACGTATATTGTTTAAACCTCAGTCTGACTGTTTGTAAAAATTATTGTATTATTGTATTGTTTGTGGGTTAGATATAGCATAGATTAGAACAGTTATGGTAATGATAAAAGGAGTTTGGAGTAGCCTTTATCTAACAGTGGACTCACAATATGATCAATAACAAAGCTTTTAAATCTCAAGTGTCTTTAACATACAACCTTTCTTTATAATTTTGTGATGGTGTAAAATTACCTGAGTTTTTCTAGACATTACCCTACATTGCCTGTTTAATCAATATATCTGTAGAAGGAGAAGTAAATGATAAAGACTAAATTTGACAACATCAGGTCAGCACAAAGAAATCCAATGCTCTTTCAATAGATCCTAAACTAGCTTTGCACAGATGTAGCACATGCAACTTATTCTGAATTGCAAATATGTCAAATAACAGGCAATGACAATTATCAAATAAAAGTCTGCATTAAATGAAACATTTGAATACTGGCTGTTCTGAATTAGCAAAGAAATATATTTTGGATTTACCAAAAGATCACATGATTTTCATGCCAAAAATTTTAATAGAAAAGTGTCATTTAGTAAATGTGGATAATAAAAATCAATAAAAATGAATTCTCATAAAATGTAAGATAACTTCTTTAGAGGTAAATGAATTAATAAAGAATGTTAAAAGTGTTAAGGAAGCAGAAAAATTAATTGTGATAAAGTGGAAAAAGCAAAAAAAGATCCAGCTCACAAGGTTATTAAGAAAGAAAATTAAAAAAAGTGAATGCTTTGATAAGCGAATTATAAAATAGATAAAAATAAGATTAGTAATAAATAGAAATTAGAGGATCTATGAAGATTTCTATAGCTTAACTGCCAAAAAATGTATTCAACTGAGCCGAAACAGTTAAGCTGCTTTGACTATTAGATTGTAGTCCTGTTGTCATACTCGTTATTGGTGCCTGTCAACATTCTACAGTTATAACAAAGAGTGAAAGAATAAAATATACAAAACCTTTGACCTCTCAAACTGGGGTGATTGTGTAATTTAACAACATTCAGTGACCTTTGCATTTGGTTATGTCACTTTCTAATGGATTTAAGTATTATGTGAACAAAGATTGATTTTATGTATACAGGATGTTCTAGGTAATTGAGAACAAATTATAATATGAAGAAAAATTCAATGGAAAAAAATCAGTATATTTAAAAAAAAATGTGTACATATGTTCAACTTAGAAATACAGAAAAGGTTATTCAATAAAACTAACCTCAGCCTCAAGGATGGCCTCAATGTGGCTTTGGAAATGACTGTACAACAATGTTAGGCGACTTCAATAAATTTTCAGTAGGCATCATAGGCAACATAAACTTTATGTAAATCATCATGGGCATCTCCATAGGGTCTATGCAGAGCCACCAGTTGTTTCTTTATTGGAGAAGAACACCATACATGTCAGGTTCTTCAGGGTGCTTAAACAGAAAGCACTCTGATTGGATCACTTGCTTTTCCTGTATCATGTTGGAGATGAACTTGCCTTTCCCTTACATATCAAGTGGGCTCTCCTATCTTGAGCTGCTCAGTGATGGTTGTCACCAATGTATTACAGTCATAGTTGATATACTGTACTTGCTAGATGAACTTGGCTGTTCTTATGATCCCTGACCACTATGGGTGGTGACTAGTGTCAAAAAGCATGCTATGCCTTTTCAATTCCTGTATTAGATTAAAAGCAGTCATGTTAACTCTCTCAATATGTCTGAGAAGGTTAAAATTTGTTGCCTTTATGGTCAAATGAACATTCCTTCACCCATGTTTAGTCATTTTCAATTTAGGACCTGTTGAAGTTGTGTTCTTGACTAAGTCACACCCTGTAAATAAATTAGTTGCAGTTTGGATTTGGTTGCTCCTTAATAAAAAATTGTCAGAACAATGTCATTTTGTTTCCATTTTCACCTTACTGTTCAAAATCTCTCAAGGTGACAACAGCAGCCACTGTTGTCTTTAGCCAACAATGACAGCCAAGGAATTAGAAAAATGTTTATAATGAACAGTTTTACACTTTGGTGTCTCACAGAAAGAGAATCAACCTACTTTAGAATATATGGAACAACCATACAGCTATGTATATACATTTTTCATGGTAGAGTGCTATGTGGTTAGTGTTTTTAAGCTATTCTAATTCAATAATGCTCCCAAATAAGATAGAAAATGTTTCCAATATACAATCTTACAGTCAGCAGATAAAAATACACTTTAACTGAATAGAAAGTTTATCTAATTTTATGAAGTTATAAATAGAAAATATAAAAATAATTAAACATTAAAGTTAGCATCAAAAGAAGTGATTTATTTTAAAACTAATTTAAAACATCAAAAGAAGTGATTTATTTTAAAACTAATTTCCAGGCTAGATTACATTCAAGCAGGTATCAAACATTTGCATTGTGTTAAATGAATATAAATTTCTATTTTTTTTTTAAATATATTCTTTCAGTTAAGAGAAAATAGTACCCCAAAATTAATTTCAAGTTAATTATCTTACTAATTTTATAATTCACAATTAAATTTCTAAAAGATTTCATTTGTTCATGAAAATGTCTATTTTAGTACAATTTTTTTTTTTTTGTTTTTTAGTGAAGAATTAAAAAAAAAAAACAAGATTTGTAGATGCATTGTCACAAGAGAATTTCTAGAGAGATTAAATTTTTAATTAGAATAACTGATATTCTTACAATTGTTTTCCACTCAACAGGTATTCATACACAATAGTATTGGAAAATTCCTTAACTTTGCATATTGGGATTGAACTAGTCACTGGGAATTTGCATGCAGTTAATGCTAAATGGTACATAGCCTAGTTAGCCTACCAATAGGCTTTTGCAATATCTATTCATGTTTAATTGTTACATAAGGTTTTATATTATTTTGAAATGGCTCTGCAATCTTTTATGTCTGATAAATTTGAGTAACATACTTCCATCAAGTGTTTGGACAAATCTTGACAAGTTTGCTACTAAGACCCTCAAAATGTTTTGTCAGGTTTTTGAAAAATGTTCTTTAAGTCAAACAGGTTTTCAAGTAGTGTTTCAAGGCTTGTTGAGCACTAGTTCAAGATTATGAACATTCAAAGCAACCAATAACCAGCAAATAAAAAAACGAGGAAAAAATTGTGAAATCATCCATGTGAACTATCACTAGACAATCAATACAATTTACTGAAATAATGGTATACTTAAAAGCCTAGTCTGGGAACTTTCCAATATCACCTAATATAAGAAAAAAAATTAATCTGTTAGAACTGTGGCATGAAATAATGG